CTTTGAGTTTTTTCCCTTCGTTTTCTCTTGGGCAGAAGTACATGAACCTGCAGTTTTGGGGACGAATAAATATCAGTTGAAAAGTTTTGACCCTATGAAGCTTGTGCTGTTGGACAAAGAAGCAGGTCACATCTCCTTGGGCAAGGAAAAACTGTTTGGCAGGTTTTCTTTCTCACCATACCACCCCTTCATGGGCCTAGGACATCTAGATACTGAAGCTAACTTTAGAAGTAATTGACCAAGATTGTCCGCTTATTCCATGGAGAGTTAAGAGGAGTGTCTTCTTTCTGGAGAGCTCCACAGGTGGTGGTTAACTTTAGAAGTAATTGACCAAGATTGTCCACTTATTCCATGGAGAGTTAAGAGGAGTGTTTTCTTTCTGGAGAGCTCCACAGATGGTGGCGTGTTAGCACTGAAATGGGCAATTAGTCATAGCTGAGGTCTGGAGTTTCATCAGATGTGTAATGGCACCATAGCACAGCCATCTCAGTAGCATGGGAATAAACGAGTTTTGCTACCTGGTTAATGACCGCCAAAGTAATGTATTCTGTTTGTTTTTGTCACTGTTGACATCACAACTCAATTCTGAGGTCTGGACATGGGTGGGTGTTAGGGAGTTGGAAATATCAGGTTGACTGTGAGGTGGCAATCTCTTCTTTCTTTTCACTGGTTGCCTGCCTTCCCTCCATCCCTCTGCAAAGCTCACCTTGTTGTGGGATACTTCATATCATGGTGATCTTGACTGCCTAGAATGGACCAAGTGCCTGAGTCCTGGAGACCAGGCAGAAGTCTTCCAGAACACTATTCTCCTTTCTTACATCTTACAGGATGGACAGCACCAGACCTTCTTTCCTCCCCTTTGTTTTCCTTGCCCTCCTTTCACAATCCTGGGACGAAGTCTTCCAGAACACTATTCTCCTTTCTTTCCTATGTGCTATGATACAGGATGGACAGCACCAGACCTTCTTTCCTCCCCTTTGTTTTCCTTGCCCTCCTTTCACAATCCTGGGACTCATTCTCTCAGCTTCCCCTGCTACTACCACCTTCCCTTACTTCCCCAGCTCTCTCATCTCCTTCTTTCTGTACAGATTTACCTTTCCATTGTCTCACTCCCAAAGCACAGGACTTCTTTCTTGAGGTTGCCCGCCCTCCATGACCTTGTTCACACTCCCATATCACTGTGCTTACAGACCCCTCCACCACCACCACCAGCTGTGCAAGGTCTCTTTGCCTCCCGATGCACCTCAAGCTGAGATGAAGAACCCTTTAGGAAGAATGGAATGACAGCTTGCACTCTTGCTTGTTTTCATGTCACAGCTAACATTGTGCCATGCCCTCCAGTGGTTAGGCCTTCCTCTGTTCATTGCCAGAGCTGAGTCCCTCAGAGGGACCCAAAGCTGTCCTCCAATTGTGCGTTATCCCAGCTCCTTCTCAGCTGCAGAAAAGCTAGTGTTGCTTCTCTGGAAATAACATTGCTGTTAATAAATAATCACATCTAGCCTTAGTGAAGCTCCCAAAGACCATTTACTTTTTCTCTGGTTTTGTGCAAAGGGTTGGTATGTCTTGAGTCTGAGGCACCCTCAGGGTGCAAATCAGATCCCTGTCTGCATCTGTTTCCTCCAGGCACCAAGACCCAGAGCCATATTCAGGTTACCCCGAAGGTAGGTGCAGATTCACCCTAAAGGAAGATCTCTGCACTGAAGGTATACTGAGGAGCTTTCTAACATCAGTTTAAAAAAAAAAAAAAAAAAAAAAAAAAAAAAAAAAAAAAAAAAAAAAAAAAAAAAAAAAAAGGTCTAAAATATTGCCAGTGTAGTTTATAATGTCTTTCACAAAAGTCATGTCCCTGTCCCCCAGAAAAATAAATTCAAAGTGCAGATTCTTACCCACAGAGGTGGGAACCCAAATACTCAAGAAGCTAACTATGGACTTAGAAAAGGCTAGAACTTCAACCAAAGGAAAGTGATGTACAAAAATTCACAGCATTGCTTAGAATCATACTGAAAGACATGGTCAGTCTTCAGAGTGATGGTCTCTTAGCACCTAATTGCTTTCTGAGGAAATTTTAACATAGCCAAATGAGTCCCATCAAATTGATTACCTTGTAGTAGTAGTAGTAATAAGAACAATAATAATAAATTAAATATTTTTTTTTTCATTATATTATGTTATGATACACCATCGTATATTGTACAGCAGCACTAATTACTGCTTATACTTGTTATAATATAATACTCCAGGAGTGCCAAATTCCATATTTTTTTACCAAAGGTGAATGCTGATTTTTTTTTTTTTGTTCTGAAAATTTCTTAGCCAGTTTTAGGAGGCAAAGGTTCTTTTAAAATCATAGTGAATAAAAGTTGTAAAATTTTAAGTATTTATAGCATGAAGGATCAAAAAGTAGAAAAAAGCTTTATTTCTAACCTACTGTATTTGAACTGAAAGAAGATTGTTAACAGCCTGGGAAGCAAACCAAATGTCAGTAAGTTTAAGGAGGTCTGATTCGATAGTTTTTGCATGCTTTGAGGTTGCGTGACTGAAACTCCTTCCTGTTTACCTGTAGGCTCATGGTGAGAAGTGGGTCTGGCAGCTGACAAAACCTGACAGTTGATTCAGTTTTTGTATGTGAAAGTGAGAGGAATCTAGGCAAGAAGAACTTGAGACTCTGTCCTACAATCATGCTTAATATAAACTTCCCTATGCTTCTGCATATAAAACAATATAATATAATAATATAGTAGCTGTAGCTTGAGGAATCACACAATTTTTTTGGACACCATTCAAAGAAAAGCAACTAAGCACCTGCTTACACTGAGGATCCTGAGTATTCCCATTATTTTGATGGTAGACTCTGAAAGGATGAACATCGAGTGCAGATCACACTCCTCATTATCTCAGGAGCATCCCTCAGGAGGCATTACTGATCAAAGTAATCCCTGGGGAGTCAATGGAAGGACTTAACTTCAAGAGAAAAATGATTTTACTTGTCATTTTTAAAAAATATTGATTGCATGAGAATTTATGCAAGCATGCATATATAGCAAAAGGAACTCTTACTTGGCTATTAAAACTTCCAGATAAAGAACCTTGTAAAGATCTGTTTCTCTCCATTGCCTATATTTAAGAGTGCCTTGACTGACTATCTCTGATGTAGACAACCACAGTGCAAACCCCAGAGCTAGGTGAGATACCCAACCTCTGCCTCAGACAAGCCAAACATGAGGTCTCCCCACAGGGTCAGAAGCTCTGCAGGCTGTGGACATAGCGAACAGATCTGCTCTCATCCAGGGGAGGGAGGAAGCACCCTGTGATGATGTTTGCCTGCCCAGAGGAACGTGAACACTGTCCAGCAGGGGCCCAGCACTGCTCTCCGCACAAGGCAGGGTGGCTGTGAGCTGGGGAAGGAGGTTCCTAGCCACCCTTGGTGCAGTAATCCAGAATACTGGCCCAGGCAGGGGAAGACCCTTCGGTCTGGAGAGGTTTAGACTCCCTAGTCCCACTTTCTGGGATAATCCCCTAAGCACGTGGCTGGGATGGATACCCTTTCCGGTCCTTTTAGTGAAGCTGGACAACTCTGCTGAGAGGAAACCAAGGTCTGAATGACCAGGTCTTGTAAGTAGTAATAATCTAAGAAGAAACTTATTTCTGAAATCCACTATCCACTGAGAGCAGGACAGCTCTGAGCTTTGGTGCTTGTTACTTAAGTCATTTATGTAGTTCATACAATGCATCTCCCATGGAAAAGTTTGTGGAGCACAGGCTCATTGACACGTCCAGTCCTGCTTTGTCAGCTCAGCTTTGCTGAGAACACTGGATTAAATTCCTATCTCTTCTAGCTTCTGTGGACTTTTGACATTTTTTATGCTCAAAACACAGATTTAGTTCTTCTTAAAGAGAAGATTAAACCCAAACCATCATAGCTGAGTGCTTGAGCTATGAAAATGTTTTATAACAGTGCATGTTGGTGGCATTTCTATTCTCTCTTCCTCTACCAACATCCTAAATGCAGGGAGTGACTCTTCCCTCCCCCATAAGGTTTTTAAAATAAAACACACACATGCCTTGGTGAAGAGACTTCAAAGCTGTGGAAAGGATATATACGCATATATGTCCAGGGCTTGTTTTCTAAATCATAAAAAATGGAGAAGAATGAAAAACCCAGGTCTGCGTTTTCCTACAGAATTGTGGGAAGTGTTTTCTACCACAACCTGCTGTTTTGGTTGGGAGGAATCCACTTGTGGGTGCCAATCCCCTCTGCACCTGCACGCAGAGAGCCCAGGTGCCACCTGGGGTTCAACGTGGAGATGCCTGCTCCTCAAAGGCAGCCTGTCCTCTTGCCTGTGCTCCTGTGTGGAACTTGACTCTACTAGCTTTCAGGCTAATGGTTTTATATGGTGCTTGGGCTCAGAAAAGCCTTTCAGTTGAATGGGTACATCCAGCCAAAGGAAACAGGCTTTTAGTGGGGTTTTATGCGTAGAGGACCTAACTCCTGATGTTCCAGCATGCCTGACTTTCACCTAGAGACCCTCTGTGCATAAAAGTATCATAAACATAGGTACATCAGATGCCTGTCCAGACTGCAATGGATGCTACTCCTTTAAACAACTTATTTTTTCTTCCTCTGTTGGGCCCTGCAACATGCTGAGAATATTGCTCTAAGCCTCTTCTAAAAATGAGAGTTAGGTGCTCAAGGCATTACTTAGTCATTTCTACACTTCATCATAGAAACTTCACTCAACAGTAAAATGCACTTGGTCACAGTTACATAGAAGACACTGCAAATTCTCTCTTTCATGGAGGTGATCAGGGTCATCTCCTGCATATTCTCAGTGTGAAATAGCACACACTAAGTACCAAACTGCAGCGGAAAGGTAAGATGGATTTTTTACTGTACTTGAAAAAGCGGAGACAATTAGAAGCAAGGAAGGAGTTAATCGTTGCAAAGTACACGGTCATTTCCTGAGCCCTGTCTGTTGGATGATTACAAACTTTCAACTATTTCTAATTCTCCTCTGTCATTTAAGAGGCTTTCAAGGTGCACTGTACATCCCAGATCAGGTAAGGAGTACAGCTTTTCACTTCTTAATTGTTTATTCAAAATTGTTTATCAGTGGAGTCAGACTTAGCCAAGACTGATTTGTTCTCCCTCTTATTATTTACATCTGAAGGGAGAACAAAGTTCATTGCAATCAAAGAAGTACATGTGTGTGTCTGTGCCAGATGACTGTAAGGTGTAGAAATAAAGGAAGAATAGTACGGGTTAAAAACAGAGCAATGTTAATGAAGAAGTTATATGTAGTCAGAAGTCAGAATTATTACAACAAATACTGCAGTAAAAAAGAAAGAACTCTTACCGCTGGATTTAAGGAGTTCACTCTGCACAAGCCACTATCAAAATAAGAGGTTATCAGTGTATAGTTTGCTTTAGTAAGGAGAGTAGTAAAAATCATAGTGTGTCTTCGATGGTATTTTTAAAAGGAGGAAGAATGAGCTTATGCATATCGGGACAGATAGTTTTCGACCAGTTTTATTTGTAAATCTGGACTTGATATCTATCTTTAGCTATTGCAGAGTCACATATTGTAGTCATCCTGAGACTGTTCCTGAGGTTTGCAGCAATGAAACATACGCACAGAAGTGACTGTGGAACCATATCATAAACTGATATAATTTCATTGGGGTCTTTTGATGCATAAAAACTGAACTCAGACAGACAGGCACCAGAAGGAAGTCTCGTAACACAGTGCACTCTTGCATACTGCCTTTGTTTTCTCTTAATAGACAGGGAGAGAGACTATTTGCGTGAAGGTTTTTTTAATAGTTCAGAAACGAGCATAAAATAGACATCTGTAGGGCAGTTATTGTAATAATGTGCTGTCACCAGGTCGCCCTACAGAAAGTGAAATTGTTTGTGCTGTGAAGATCCCTGGGTGAAGTCATACACTGGAGATTTGGATTTTTGGCATTTGATATTTTTTCAGTCTTTGCTTTTAATCATTTTCAATATTTGCACATTGGCTCCTTGACTGTGCTCAGCGTTTCGTATAAATACTCTCTGGATTTTATACATAGCTGTCGGGAGAATCTAGCTAGGGTTTTCAAAAGCATCCATTTGATTCCAACATGTAAATCCCTTCAATGTTTGAATTTTATTCCTAAATCATCTCCACCTTACTTATGAGATTGTTACTACGGCAACACTTGGACCGCTGTAATGAGTTTCACCCCTAAAAGATTCTGTGAGCCACAGAAGTTTTGTCACTGTCACCTACAGGTGGGGAACACAGATGAATCCTAGTTGATGCCAGACTCACACCCTGGCTTTTGCAGTTCCCCAGTGCAGGTGATCTGATAAAAATCCCAGGTCTTCCCTCGCAAACAGCTGTAGATCAATTTAGACATAGCCAGCAAGCATGTCACCATTCTGCTAGGGAGTCACAATTCTGCTAGGGAATCATAGAATTGTCTAGGTTGGAAGGGACCTTTAAGATCATCTAGTCCAACCATCAACCTAACTCTGATTAAAAAAAAAAAAAACAAAATTAAACCATGTCACTACATTTTGTGCAAGTACTTTTTCCTTGGGAGATCGCTCTCAGCCAACATCAAAACCTAAACTGGTTTGACAGTACGTGCCTAGATGTGCATTTTGATCCTTTGTGAACAGTTGGGGTAAACAGCAGAGCTCCACAGCAGCTAACAAACCAAAGATAATGACTGCCACTATTATGATTTACTGTATATTAAAAAAAAATTTTAAAAGGGCCAAACCAAAATCCTCCACTGTGGTTAGTGGAGCATATAAGAAACTGTGGTTTCGCCTAAATGTGAAGAAGCAGCAACAATTCTGCAGCCAAAGAAAAGCCTATACCCTTTCAGATGACGATGGAAGTCAAAGGGCTTTCTCAATGGGTCTCCTTTAGTTCAAAGCCGCGCACTCGGAATCGAGCCGACAATCTTTAAATAGCTTCCCTGGGAATTGTTTCAAGTTTCTGTAACAGCAAGTTTTTTGTCTCTGCATTTTATGAAGCAGCCAAAACCACAAATTGATCCAAGTGATCGGAAGATGGCATGGGTAGAAGCATTTGCATCAGCCTTAGTTTTCTCAGTTGGAGTATTGATGCTCAGCAATTTGCTGTTCCTTATAGCTCTGTATGGCCCTAGCTGCTAAATACTTGCATCCTCTGCTACAGCTTGCTGGGGCTGAGGTGTGCCTACCCACCCTGCAGTCTCATTTCCCCGTTTCTGCATGGGCACAGCTCAAGAGAAAGTACTCAGCAGCTTTGTGGGGGAAGAGCAAACTGAGCCCAGGCCACCCTTGCTTCTGCCTTCAGTTTTTGGTGTCCCTGCAGGTACATTTATTGAAAATGTGTATTCACCTTCTGTCTTTCAGGGTGGTTTCGGGTTCAGCTTAGACGTATCTGCCTATGCAGACAATTTTGCTCTCACCAATGACTGTAATTGCAGAAATGGCCAGCTGAGGTGATTTGAAATGTTTGCCCTCAGTGCTCTCTTTCAGCATGAGTATCTTTGGTGGAGGAAAAGGGTGTGCTCCTCAGCTCTCTGTCAGAGCGTGGCGTGCGTTATATGTAGCAGCATAATAGGATGGAAAAAAATCAAACCCTAGAAAGACCATTCCTTGTATGGTAAATGTGGTCTCCCCCAGTAACTGCTGCGTTCTAGTTGAGTGGCCAGAGGGGAGAAACCAAGCAGCCCACAATCTGGCCTCAAGAAGTTATCCTGTGGTGGCCTCCCTCGGTCCTGCTCAGAAATGAAGAGAAAGCGAGACTATTTCTCGACGTGTTTAGAAGCCGTGGTGGGGTTTTGAACATTCATTGCTGCCTAACAGCTTTACTTCATATTTGCATAGTTTCCAGATACAAAGTTGTTTTGAAGCAGAAGTCCAGGAGGCTTCACAACTGACAACTAACATTTGCAAAGCTTTCAAACGGACAGAAGGACACTTTTTGTATCAGGCATGTTTATTGACACTTTTCTCATGGGTTTCACAGTGTGCAAAATGAGCTTGAAAATGGAGTTCTCCTCTGAAAAATTACAGAGATGGGAGCATTTGGCCCTTGACTACTGCCTTAAAAGTTCTTGGATGAAATGAGCTCATTTTATAAGTAAATGTCTTTGGGACTGTTGTTTGGGCTTGTTTTCTCTTACTGTCAACTCCCGAATGCGAAGGTCAAGTTGGTGTTCCTCCTGGGCTTACTATTTATATGCAGGAAACCTAAGAGGGACTCTTAGCCTGAGAGTTAGGGTTGTTATTTTAAAATAGATTTGAAATGAGTAATATAATCCAAATTTTGTCTAAATTTAGGTGCTAATCAATGAGAAATATCCCACCAGGTTAATTTTCTGCATCCTTTGAATCTGCTAATGTCAGTTTGATCTGGTCTCTTTTCACACATTTTTGATCGGAAGCCTTCCACCCTTGCTGAAATTTTCCACTGGTAGTCTTATATTTCAGTATTGAGTATTTAACTAAAGCTAAATACTCAGGCAGAGGAAGAGAGAGAGGGAACTGTACCAGCTTCATGCAAAAGCTCAATTTTTTTTAACTGCTGGATCTTAGTTCTCATCAATATAGTAACCGAGACATTGTGCCTTTTTGCACACAGACTGGTGCGGGTCCAAGAGTTGTACAGGCTGGGGCAAGGCATCTAAAAGCTTGTTCATCAAGAGCTGAAGGTTTTTGTCACATTTTCACCCTACTGCACGAGGAATTCAGGCTCAGTAGCTTATGAATTGAAAATAATTTTACCCTCGCATCCTCGCTCTCACGGCTACTGATTGAGTCTTGAAATAACAACAGAAACTACGCACTGGTACAGTCATGATGAAGCAGCCAGGCCTACTTATAACCAAATAGACTGCACCTGATTCAGATCTGCAAAAATAAGACGGGAAAATATCAAGTCAACAAAACGCATGTGTTCTTTTACCTTCTCTTCATCTTCAGATGTGGATATTATGCATTTTTAGTAAACCTACACAGGTACGTATTACAGCTGGTAAACTGTGTTTTAAAGTTATAAAAGGCAGTGTTATCAGTAGTTGTCAGTGTTTGGCGTTATCTTTAGATGTGCTTCTTTTGATTTTTATTTTTTTTTTATAACAACTGATCCTTAAAAGGTTTTTCTTTGGTCCTTTCTGCAGCTCTTACTCATAGAGGAAATCTGATCTGCTACAGCACGGAAACATCAGTGGTGACCACAGCGAGACAAATTCCTTAGGGAGCTGCCTGTAAGTCTGATCAACATTTAAGATGAAAAGTTTTGCATTTTTCCTAGCAGGATGTTACATGCAGAGCTTAGCTGTATGAGGCAATTGCTGAGGCAAAAAGGGAATATTCAGGAACACAAGCCTCTGCTTTGAGTAGGTGAGTAAGCACAAAGAAAGGAATCATCTTGTAAAGACTTTTTCTTTCTTTCTTTCTTTCCTTCCCTCCCCCCATAAAGCTCTTAAGAATATGAGTGATGAGCGGTCTTTGAGACTCTCTAAATCATGCCCGATTGAAATCCTGTTCTCTCAGGATCCTGGGTACACTGAGTAGATCCCAGTTCTGGGCTACAATGGTTCAGCAGCTGAAGGCTGGGATAATAAACCTTCCATACTTTTATTACTTCATCTTGTGAGAGTCAGGCAGTGCAGGGATCAAAGGGAAATCCTCCTAGAGCACAGGGGGTGGTGGGAGGTAGGGCAGGAAGCCGTGTATAAGCAGGAACAGAAATGGGGAAAGAGAGAAAAACAAAAGAGAAGAGGAAATATGGTAGTATGAAACTGAGGTAGATGAAGACAGAGGGTGGTGTCTGGACAGCGGTTAAGGGAAGGAAGATAGATTTTGGGTTACGTGCTACAGATTACATTAGTGGGTTGTAGAGGACAGCAAGGCGTGATCCTTTCAGCTCTTTTCCTCAAGGACTCGGGAGAAAAAACCTGAAATATCCCGGTCTCAGTAATCTAACAGTAGTCTTCAGGGTAAAGTATGTTTGTCTGCACCCTCTAGCGGTCCAGACAGAAAATACTGTTTCACCCAGCTAATTTTACACTACGTCTGTTTGCTGGCACCTGTCATGGTCTGGTCTTTACCTTATCTGACACATCTGTGCCAACAACTGTTCTTAGCTTCTGAAATACCTTTTGGAATGATCTTTGGTCTATGATAACTCTTAAACTGCACAAGATGGTTGCGTGGGGGTCAGAGTTGCTTGAGGGAAGGAATCAAAACTGTGCCAGAATTGTAACAGCCCAAGGAATTGACTTTCATGGCCTGAGGCCAGGTTCTGACAGCATTCAGTTTACTAATATTGACATACCCTTTATGTAGTAAGAGCTCCCTTGTGCATTTGACTATGGTATAGCCCTCAGTCACCTAAGAGTAAATATTAAAGAATATTTTGGCATAAAAAATCGATCAACAAACCATTCAGAGGGATACTCTTGCCTGTCTCCCTGATCTACTTTCTGCTGAAGGACACATGCTAACTGAGAGGTAGGAATGTGGGAAAATGCAAAGTAGCCTTGTGATTTTGGTGACTGAGTGATGTCCTCGGAAATGAGATTCTGTCACCTATTCCACCTGAAAGTTTTGTGTGATGCCTCTCCATAAGAAATAGATACATGAGAAATGTCTGAAATGGACGTGGGTGGAACTTCAAAACCTCAGCTCCAAGTGGGGACAATTCTCATACGGCTTCTGACTACTAGGGAATTATGCCCTAGTAGTTGCTTCTCATAAAACGATAGCAGTATTTACAATAGTAGTACTTAAGGACAAGTACAGAGCAGATATCCTAGTTGCAATTGTAGAGCAATTGGATTTTGACAGGACTGAGAGAGCTGGCCTAGTGCCAGTAGGGAGTGTGCTTAAAGCACATCAGTAAGACGGGGTTTCTTCTTTAGAAATACAAGTGCTTTCTTTTCAAACACAGTGAAGGAGGAGGAAATAGTCTAACTCCTCCTCTAGAGCACTCTTCTAGGAGAAAGAGCATGCACGTTCAACACTCTCTTTGGAAAGTATTTAAAGATTTATCCACTTCCTTCCTTGCTAGCTAGCTAGCTATCCTTGCCAGATACCACAGTCTGGGCTGATTTGCACCTGTCCAGTTGAAGCTGGAAGAGCAAGCGGTGGTCATTGGTCAAAAAAAGGAGCAGATGCCTGAAATATCATACATCTAGAAGGCAAAATACCTGATCCAAAATCTCATCTTCAAGGATGCTCTTTTGCATTAAGTAGTCACTGGATAGCCTCAAAGGCCAATCTAAAGAGTAGAGACCAGGCCATCTCCACTCCTTTACAGATGACTACCCCTGTCACTAGGCTAGAGAATCTCTTGCTCTTCTGCATGGTGTTTTCCTCTTTCCCTGAGCTGTCATATCTATAATTTTTTATTGTGCATCTTTGATGTGAAATATGGGCAGTACCCAGCAGCTTTGTGGTTAAAACAATCTTCTGCTCAGATAATAAGTTCCATGGTCAGACTTGGAAGGCAACTTGAGGCATCTATTTCCTGACCTTAACCACTACTCTATCATTTAGACGGGGAAAGGAAGTGTTTCTCTTCTATCAGCCATCTAAAAAGATTGTAGCAGATCATATTCAGTTCCCAGAAAGAAAAGGCAACAGGGAATCTTCATATAAGGAAATTTCACAGAGAGGTTGAAGGCTCAGGTCTCCCAGCAGTGTTCCTGTGTGAGAGAGGATGTTCTGTCAGACTCACTAATATTTTTTTGCAAGTTTTCATGTTTCCGAGACTCATCCATAGTCTCCTCTGGTTGACCTACGTACATAGCATGTAAAGAGTGCTGACTTCCCACCTCATCATTTTGCTGAATCTTTCAGATCCCATTCTGAGACACCTAAGTCTTCATCAGTGCTTTAATCCTTTCACCTATGTGATGCTCATCTTACAGAGCCTGAAGTCCTGTTTCAGTTCTGGCTTCACACCAACTCTGAGTTCCTCATTTTCAAGTGCTTATTAAAAGACACCTGGGTCTAACTTTCAGAATTATTGAGTGCTCACAGATCCAGATCCAGTCAATAGAAATGTGGCTTTGAAACAGTAACATTTTATGTAATGCCAAAAGCTTTAGGTAGACACATAAACCTGTCCTAGGCAACTCAGGGCCTCCATTCCCCACTTTTCTGTTTGTAATATGGGGTTAAATAATCTTCATACTAGAGGAAAGCTGCAAAGAAAAAAATTGGTGGATCTTTTTGAAGTACTTTGATGCTACAACACTGGATGCCACAAAAATGCCCACAAATAAATTATTTATTTGGTATTGAGGACAAGAGTTTGAATAGTGCAGTGTACACAGGGCATGGTATCACTCATTGCGCAATGATGAGAAAAAAGTCTAAAGCTTTCTGATGGGGTATTTTGCCTTTGGAAAATTGCTGGGGGGGCATTGGTTCCAACAAAGATCAAAGGTAAATGGGCAGGCTTAAACTTGTCCATTTTCCAGCCAGCTGACTTGTGAAGTTTCTTGGCAGCTGGCTCTCTTCAGCCTATTGACTTCCAGCTTTTCACTAGTAGGAATATTAAACTCCAATCCCCAACATAGGTGATTTGGAGATAACATCAACAAGCTCTCCAGTGACTCTGTGGGCAGTAGAAAACACTAGCATATTTTCTTTCTAAAATTCTGTGATATGTGGTGGATTACTATATAACGAAGATTGTCATTATTGCCATTACACTTGTCTACAACCTTCTCCTGTGTTGTTATGGCCATGATGCCCAGAAAACCATACACAGTTGCAGAAATCAGGGAAAGGAACTAAAAAACATTAGGTGGAATTATAAATGTCTGAAACCCAGGCTTCCATCCAATTGGCCAAATTTTTTTATGCAATGCACAGAAACTTAGTTAATCTTGGGACCTACACCCTTTATCAAATTCAGCAAGAATTAACCAAAACATGCGGATTTTTTGAAGGAGGGGGGGCAAATACAGTCCTGTGAATTTAAACCAAAGATCCTTTTCGAACAGCAGCTGGGCTCAGTAGTTTTTTGAGTTTTTCTTTATATTCTTACTTCTAAATTAATGATAAAGTGAACAAGTGGAAGTATTTGATGCCTGCTCTGGCTTACAGTGACCCAGGAGCCCCACGTCCCCTCCTAGACTCTCCGACATTACATCCTTCTCCTACAGATGAGGCCCATCCACACACCTCATTTGTCAGGTAGGAAGGTATACTGAAAACCAGAGTCTTTCACAATTAAGCCCAAGCAGCCTACACTTTTTCTGTGAACAGTATTTATTGACTGGCTCATAGGGAGCATTTCCTGACCTGGCATATCAGGCACATTATCCCCACGGTTGTCCAAAGAGACCTGGCCTTCACCTTCTATTTCTGCAGTCCTGTGCTGCTGTGCCCTTTTACTTTCTTCTGGGAAGAAGACAAACATCAAAGCCTTCCCTGAAATAGATTTAGTCTGTGCTTTCTATGTCAACTTTAATGCCTCAGTGCTCTCCTCCTCCGGAGGAGAAACGTGCTGTAGAGACTGTCTTGTGGGTGCTTATTTCCTTTTTTGAGATCTGAGCCAAAGCTTAATTCTCTTGATGTGTAGCCATCAAAGGCAGTGAAGATAGACAACTCACAGTGATGCTGGTAAATAAAAATCTTACCGACTATTACGTGCTGTAGTTTTGCTTCATGTACCAAGTGTTAACAGGGATTATATAGAAATAGAAAGTTAAGTTTGCAGCAATTAAACTACTAAATAGCTTTGAAGGTCAAGATGAAATAATTTCAATTTTATCTATTTATTTATTTTACATTAATTTTATATATATTTATTTCACTTCTGAAATTAATCCTAAACCATCCCTAAACTAAGTGCTTTTCCATGACCACTCACACTGGAGAAACCCAGTGCTGTAGATTTTGGCAATGCCCTACGTAGAGACAGTTACAAATGACAGCGCTTCTTCAAACACACATCTGCAAGACACAGTGACTTTAGCATTAGAACTTTTTTTCTATGTGAGGGCTACAGAGATTTTACTGAATTACTAGTGTCAATGATGAAGAATGACAAGAGTTTTTCCCCAGTGGAGAGACAGCCAAATATACTATAATTTTTAAAAAGCCAGCATAGCATTCTTAGATCACAATTATAGAGTATGTTAATGATCTTTGCAAATCAGTTTGTATTTGTCTTTTTGACACTGACAGTCCAGCTATCCTTAGTGGTAAACCCCAAGGAAAAGTACTTCACTGCATTTAATCTGTT